TTATAATAAATTACAAATTATATTTTTAATAAAATAATTTTAATAATTTATTTTATTATAAATTTTTTATTATATAATAAAAAAATATAATTAAATATTTTTAATATAATATTTTTATAAAATTTTAATTAATAAATATAATATTAGTTTTTTAATAATTTTTAATAAATATATAAATGATTTTATATTTTTAAATAATTTTTTATTAAATTATAATAAATTTAAAAAGTTAATTTTTTATTATTAATTTTATTAATATAATTTAAAAATATAATATATATTAAAAAATTTAAAAAGTTAATTAAAATTTATTAATAAATTTAATATTAATATATATTTTATTTATTTTATAATTTTTCATATTATTTTTGTTTTTATTATTTAATTTAATAATAAATTAAATTAAGAATACTTATTAAATTATTTTGAAAAATATTAAAATATTAAAATTTAAAAATTATATTAATTTATATACTAATAATTAGTTAATATTTTAATTAAAATTATTTATTAAAATTATTTTTAAAAATATTAAAAGATTAAAATTCAGAAATTATATTATATATTAATAATTAATTAGTATTTTTATTTTTGATAATTTTATTATATTACTTAAATTCAAAAAATCTATAATAATAATAATAATATATAATATATTAATAATCAATTAATATTTTAATTTTAATATTATATTATTTATTAAAATTTATAAATTCTAATATATATTTTTAATTTAATATTTGAAATATTTATTATATTATTAAAAATTATAAAATAAAAATATGATATATCTCTAAATATAAGTAACTAAAAATTTAAGATTTTGATAGAGTAAAGAAAGGGAGTTACTAATATTAAATATAAATTTATTATATTTTATATATAATATTTTTAGAATCTCAGATTTTAAAATAAGATAATTACTTATATTTAAGAGTTACTTATATTTAGAATAAGAATATTATCTATAACTAAAATAACTTATTATCTTGGCAAAATCAGATGATTATAGTACAATAAATTATATATAATACAGTATTATAATATAGCATGATCTATGAACTAATCTATTAATTTTATTACAAAGATTATTTTTCAGCATGAATAATATTAATTAAAAAAAACTTGTATAAATAACTAAGCTGATAAGATATTTATTATAAACTATAATATTTTAAGTAAGTTATAAATAATAATTAGAATGTATGAGAAGAAAAATAAATTATATAATTTAATAAGTATGTGAAAAAGTATCATATCAAATTTGAATATCTAAAACTGGCTGGTTTATAAAAAAAAATCAGTTTAACAAAATAAATTTATATATAATAATATACAGTGATGTGCAAAAAAAATAATAATTAGTTTTTTGATTAAATAATTATAATATAAGCATTTATATATATTCTTTAATATCTAGAGAATAAGTTTACATAAGATCATAAAATAAAATATCTTAGTAAAATTTACATTTTATATTCAAAAAAATTGATAACAAAAATTTTTTAAAATATTAATTAAAAATAATTTTAATAAGTTATATATAATTAAGCTTTAAGTAAATTTGTTTGTTATATTATAAAGAAGATATTATTAAGTTTTTATAAAAACTCAATGCTTTGCTATTGCATAATAAAGTAAAATATAATTTAAAGTATTTTTTTGACTATATATTTAATATTTTTATTATATAAATTTTTGTAATAAATTTTACAAGCTGAATTTTTGAAAATTTTATTAAGATTTTTTATTTTATGATCTTAAGTAAACTTATTCTCTAGATATTAAAGAATATATATATAAATTCTTATTTGAATAATTATTCAATTCATTATAATCAAAAAACTAATTGTCATTTTTTTGCACACCACTGTATATAGCGTTCCACAAATTTAGCCAGTTTACAGTTTACCAGTTTATCGAATTTAGGGGTGAATTGGTTCCACAAAACTTGGTCGATGGCCGGTTTATCCATAGCCAGTTTATCGAGGGTGACTATGTATTCTTATATTTGTATTGAAAAATATATATATTATATATATTTTGTTTAATCTTTTAAAGCTATATTACTTTAGTTATTAAATATTAATATCAAGTTCATATTTTTTTATATATAATACTGTTTAAATTTTGGACATGTCGGGATTCTAGTGAGATTTTGTGACATAGAATCCATGCTTATATATGTATCAAGTTTTGGTAACACTGAAATCTAAAATACATGTACGTGTATTTATTGGTTTGTATGTTATCGTTATCGTTTCGTTATGTAACGTTAATACTCGAATGAAATTTTGGTCGTGTTGACTTGACATTAATCGGTGATCGAAAATATGTATACATGTAACGGTAATGCGTAATCATTTTCGTCGTCGACTAACAGGAATTACAACGAATATGATAATTACTCGTATGCAATTGTGTTGAAATTGATCATTTGAACAGCTATTTACTATTTTTAGGTATAAATAAACGTCATCAATTGTTCACATTATGTCAAATGACGACAATAAAGCCAAGAAACTCGGGCGCAGTTATTGAAAAGTTATAAAATAATCCATTTATTCATTATTCCAAAAATTAAAATCAGAAGATGAAAGAAAATTCACACAATAACCATATCAACGAAAACGTTATCAAAAACAACAATAATTTTAATCAAGCAACATTAATAGATTTAAGCGTACCACAAAAAATTTTCAATGACTTGAATGAAAAATTTGAATCAAATTCAACTATTGTCAATGCTTTGAAAAAATGGCTAACCATAAACGAGGTTTCAGCGAAATATCTATTCGATTCCACTAGAGAAGCTAAAAATTATTTGTTTCTCAGCTTTTTATATCTTAATGGAATCGGTTGTATACTTGACAAACAGAAGGCTTTCAATTATACAAAATATTCCGCAGATAATGGCGATGTAGTCGCACAAACAAGGCTTAGCGTTTATTACTTTAACGGAATCGGCGTTGAATCTGATTTCAAAGTAAGTTTTCGTTGGGCTCTTAAGGCGAGTGAAAAAAATTTTCCCCCCGCTCAACATTTATTAGCTTCTATCTACAAATCCGGTGTTGGATGTGATGAAGTCAATTTTCCCAAAGCCATCGAATTATTGAAAAGATCTGCGGACGCTGGCTATTCAAGTGCACAATTCGACTTGGCCGAGTGCTACAAAAGAGGATCAGGAATCGTAGCAGATTCGAAGGTTGCATATTCTTGGTACGCAAAAGCAGCAGAGAATGGACATGCTAAAGCTGCATTTTGCTGTGGAATATGTTGTAAGCGTTCTTTTGGAACTGAAAGAGACCTCGATAAAGCTATTTATTGGTTTATGATAGCTTCGAAACTCGGTGATGTGCGTTCAATGAATTGTCTTGCAAAACTCATTTTTCTTCACACTAGTAATAAACGATTGGCGATTCATTGGTTTAGAAAGTCAGCGGAATTGGGAAGTCTCAATAGCCAATGGCAATTATCGAAATGTTATCAATACGGTATTGGAATTCAACAAGATATTCATCAATCATTGTTTTGGTCCCGTGTTGCAGAAAAGAATCATGGTGCATTGGCGCTTGTTCGTCTGCATAAGACTTTTTCACACACACATCTAATAATTTAGATACGTATTTTTTTAGTTATCTGGACTTTTGTCAATTTTCAAATTATACATGTGCTTAAAGGACGGTAATAACTTTTACCTATAAACGTTTGTATTTATTTGGCACAATTATATATCAGAGATTTCCTAAATTGCAAGTTTCTGCTCAATTTGGTCATAGCTTCATTTTTTAAAAACATTCTAAATCATAAAAACTAACACTGAAGTCAAATTACGGGCTTGTAACAATAACGGCTAAAAAAAGTTTCTAAATATATTTTCGAAACTTCTAAAGATTCGCGAGGATGCTTATTACATTTACCTATGTAACGCTAAATTAGTAATTTAATTTGTCGGAATTACAATACCCTAGGAAAACAAGATCCCGAGATGAACTCAATACTTGCTTGTTTATAGAAACATATTGAAGAAAAATCTACTATTTTTTTAATAATCAATAGGCAATATGGTCTATATTTATCCATAGGTTATCGTTATGAGTGAAAGATTTTGTTCGTTCCGATGCGCATATAATTTAGAATTTCAAATGCAGAAATTTTCGGTAATGAAAATCAGGCTATGTTTGTCTGGTTCCGAAACAATCACATCATACATGTCTTTTCCTCAGACTGGCTAAATTAATTAATATGCCACACTACATATCAGATCGATCACTAGCAGATGCATAATGATAAGAAAAAAAGTTTACTGAAAATTCGTATACATGTATAATTTTTCATGAACTTATATATGGCGCGGCGGTTTTTGATTTTCATTCACTATTATATACAGTATTTATTCTAACAGATAATACACGTCTTAAAGTTAATATAACTTGAATATACATGTATGTTTCATACTGAAACATTGCTACTATCTTGATCATCACTCCGTTCAATAATTTTAATCCCGTTCGTAATTTTTTCTAATAAAACACGCGACATATTACGAAATTAAATTTTATATTCATTTATCATGACTATGAATTATTTTTTGAATATGAGTTTATTTTGTGTAACGTGCATATTAATTGTTCAAGAAATGTTGACTTATTTTGTGCGCGTTCTCTATTTCTCGCGCGTTAGTCTGAGTGTTTCGATGGTCCATTATTTATTGAATAATCTCTTTCATTTTAAACCCTATCTACCTATTATCATTATCTCCTTCCGACTTTCAATATAACTCATTCTCCCGTTTCATTTTATCACAAATTGGCTAGACCGTTGATGAAGATCGATTAAATAAAAAGACTGATTTTGTAGAGTATCATCGTAGATATTTATTGTGCTCATACCTAAAGGTTAAATAAATACAAAGCCACGACAAAGACAACAACAATTTTTTTTAATTTCTGGCTGGTCTCAGCAATTAAAAAAGAGATAGATTTAGTAGTCATTATAATATTGAAAAACTCCGTCATTTTTATTTAGCTTTAGACCTTGTTGTCTGGTATACAACAAAAGTAAAGCTCTTGTTTCTTTTTTAAATCCACTTTTTTTGGCATCTGAACAAATTAAAATGGGTAAAACTGTTTGGAATCAATGGGCCAACCTAATTGCTCTTACGGCCGGTGTCTGTACGTATTCTATGTTTTTTACTATAACAACAGTTAAAGTAATAAATTACTCATTATATCTTTTTAAATAGTTGAAATTATAGGTGGCATCTTTGGTATGTTCTATCGTATCGCAATGTTTGGACACATAACTACGTAAGTACCAATAATATTAGAAAAATACTTTATTTGATTGAGTTAAAAGTATAATCTTAAGAAATTTTTTTTCAATGCATAGAATATTTGATAGATTCGTTGATCCTTTGAATATCCTGGCGATTTTGGCGATGTAAGTCTTTCCATTTCTTAAGTTTGTTTTCAATCAACGCCATAATAATCCTATTATTATACTAATACTCCTTATTATGCCATAAAAAATAGTATTTTTGGAGCAATAATTATAGGAATCGAATATCCTCTTGTCCCTTTCAAAGACACTTTTATTACATATTCCTATATATTACGCCTATTCCTTTACATACCTATGGCATTCATCTCGCTCCTTAATTATCAAAATGTGAACCCGGCTTTTTATCTTTTAATTGCATCGTTAATGTATATTCTTGCAACAGACAATGGAGAACACAAAATACGATCAAACGGAAATAGGCATATTGTCTAAACAAATAACGTAATACATAAAGAAACATTATCACAAAAACATTTTCTCGAGTTCGGAATTTTTCTTTTTCCTTGTACATATTATTTTTTTTCTTACGGTTTGTCAGAGATAGCTTTCCTTAGATTTGAAATATTTTCTTTCTATTTTAATTATCTCTTTATTTTTTTTATATTTAATTTATAAAATAGATTTCATTTGATCACATTCTCGAAAACCTGTCTTCTTTTCTCTCACTGTAAATTTAGTATTATAGTTAGTAATCAATAAAAAAATATTTTGAGATCATCCAATCTAAATTTGGTTATGTTTCTTTGTTGTTTCATGATTTTAAGCCTAAAACTATACTCCACCGAGAAAGAACCTTTTTCGGCTCATTCTGAGTTTGCCCATTTAATCGCTGATTAGAAAATCTATTCATTTAATTGAATTATCTTAATTTGAAATGTTATGACATGTGCGATCACCTTTCATAAATGTTGATTTTCAAAGAAATTATCCTCCCTGACTTAAATGAGCAAAACTATCATGCATCGGCGAGGATCAAAGTCTGAATAAAGAAATTATAGATAAGTTTAAAAATAATAACTATACTTGATTCAATTTGTAAGAACGTAAACTCATGTGGCCAAGAAATACACCTCACTGCATGAACAGTGAAGAGTCTTCCGTAATTTATATGATTGAGAACTGTTCGCTATGTGCATGTAGTTATTCTGTGAAATTTTTCTTTATATTGTTGCATCATTTTAACAGATTAAACAATATTGTGCTGCTCAAAAGTACAAACTTCTATCAAATCATATTTTCTGTTAAAAATAATTTTAATTTAAATATTTCAGTCAATTTATATTCAATTTTAATAAATTTAATATCATTAAAATCATAAAATT